GTAGACAATAGTAGACATGTTCCTGTTCAACAAACGGAATGCGCCGAAGCTGAGTGCGCAGATCCTTGACCACCAACGCAACCCGCTCCCCTCGGTGCCCCTCCTCGATGTTGGCCCTCACGACAACATGATCGGCTATGAGGTGATCCCCAAACATCTTGGTTGGGACACGACCTTCAATGCAGCTGTTCCGTCGTTCCTCCATGACGGCGCCAACGTTCCAAAAGACCCTGGCGAAAACACATGCGATTGAAAAGCTCACCGTGTGTCTCTCGAAAGCTCATGTGGTAAAACCCACATCCACAGCCTTCCTCCGCTTTCCATGCGTTCCACGGTATTCTGACCATGGGCGCACAGCAGAGAGCGCCTCTATACACAAGAGCAAACCCGGTTTGCTTCACCTTGAAAGACATATGGAACGGTCGCGACCAATAGTCGCACTTTGTTCCACTGCCACTTGGTGGCCAGGATCTTCCTTGGCCACGTTTGCTTGACAGAGTTCTTTCACTGCAAGGCGCACCAGAAAAAACATGCGCTCTGTCGCGATGGCCTAGAACCTACTAGCGATGGCCTCGACTTTGACAAGTTGAGCATGTTCCCCTCTAATTTGCAAGGCAGAGCTCAACTCCGAGGCCTCACAGGTGACCTTGGAAATGCAACGCCAAACCATGGGATGAGTCCAAACCCCATACTCACTCAGACCTACTCCTCCAATCCCCGTTTTTCCTCCCAAGTCCACTGAAACCTTCACCGGCCAAAGCCGGCTTCCAGAAAAGCAAAGTAAAAAATCTGCCCGCACCGAAGGTGCCGAGGCGTTGTGGAGGCTCGCGGCAACAGCAGTCGGAAGAAATCTGCTAGATTAAATCTTAAGCTTTAGCTGGGGGAGCACTTTTCGACTAGAAATGCTGTGCTTCACAGTCTTTTTTGAAGTTACTAAAGATTTTGGACCAAACGTTGGCGATGCCGGCTATGCCGGCCGGGAGACACCGCATTATTGACATCGTGGGTGTGTTCGTCCGTGTGTCCTGCCCGACCGAGACAGACAGAGTGACAGACCGAGACAAACGCACCGAGACAGACAGACTGAGACACGCTTGAGCCTGTTAACATTTCCTCCCGGCTCCGAGAGCACAAGTTGCTAGTTCCCGGCTCCGCGAGCGCAGGTTGCTGCCCATGTATGTGTGGATGTGTGTCCGCATGCATGTCTGTCTGTATGCATGGATGGATGTCTATGTCTGTACGTGTGTGTGTGTATCTTTTCCCTTTACTCTGTGCGGGCGGCTTCGACCGCGAAGCGGTGTGAATAGCAAATAACATCACTATAACTCAATTATAACTCCCCTCCATCCATCCGCGCCCGGGTGCTCGAACTCGTATGCTTGGACGGCACGTCTCAGGTTGCCACTCTCGAAGCGACTTTCGAACAGCAGGGTTCGATCGTCAGGTCCTACGCACGAGGTGACGAGAGGAGGCAAGGCCGGACCGTTGTTGGACAGAGGCAGGTTGGAATGAGGCGGGGTGCATCTACGAACGACACACAAAAGTAGGTCCATCATGGTCCATCCGTCTGGAAATGGTTTGGTGTCGTTGCATGGTCTGTGCAGGATATTGCAGGCAATAGGTGAGCTGAGGAGAGAGACAGCCGCTTGCAATGCCACATGCCAGTTCTCCACATTGCAAAGTATTCATGTTCGTGTTGCTTCGGAGGCAAATGGAGTGATCTATAAAGCAAAAACAAGCCAAAACATTCTACCCCGTGCTGATGCGGGTGATGCGCCCTCTACTATCCTGAACCGCATGAATCGCATCAAAAAGGTTGCAGTCACTGGGTTCACAAGTACATACCCTACAAACTCTGCAGAACACAAACTCTGAGCAAGATCCGCTATCATACCCTCCAAACTCTGTGGAGAAAACCTGTCCTGTCGGTGTGTAGTACGGAGCCAAATGTGGCTTAAAATCTGCGCGCGATTGAAATCCAACCGTTTGGCCAGTGAAAAGCGGCGGTTCCTCGGCAGGGGCAATTGCGGATGTGAGGGAGTGCTTTCTACGCTGTGAAGCTATAAGGGTGATACTCAGCCAAGGGGTTTTGGTCTATTTCCCTTCTTCCAGGAGGTGGAAACTGGATGGTCTCCCTATTCCAATACACACCCATAATCCAGAAGTGTCGACGCAAACGCACCAAAAAGAATCTTATGCTTGGCGTGATCGCACCACGCCAACAAAAAAGGGGCTCGGTGTTGGGCTTCGTTCTTCTTCGGCACCCAGCGAAAACGCAAAAACTAATATGGAATAAGTATAACTATAATGAAAACATATGAAAAAAAATAGATCAAGAAATGTAAAAGCAAACAAACAAAACTCACTGCACCAACAACCAAGGTGCCGGCTCCGTCTTGAAGGGATCTCCCACACTATCATACACAATCCGATTCCGAATCCCCTCAGGCTGCGACATGCGCTCCGCCTCCGCTTTGCAGATCTCGTCGAAGAGCGTCTCGGGCGCGGTGTACAGCAGCTCTGGCTGCTCGGGCACCACGCGCAAAAAGCGGGGCGTGGCGCCCAAAGGGATCGAGATGCCTGTCTGGGGCGTGGGAACACTGTCGTCCACCTCGAAGGCCTTGCGACGATCCAATGGGAGCTCCCCACCTGGGCCGGAGGGGCGGGCCCACGCCCAATGAGTGGGAAATGTTTGGCCGGAGAGAGGGCCGCGGTGGAAGAGAGTGGTGTTGTGGATGGAGAGGAGTTGAACCAAAAATCCATCCAAATCCCGTCTATGTCGGCCATGGCTGGATGGTTTTGGGAGAAGAGCATCAAAGAACTGGATCGCGGGGGGCTTGGTGGATTGTGATTGGCCCGGGACAGAAGTGGAATGCGTGGGGGGCAAAGAACACGAACATGGCGGATCTGCTCAAAGCTGCACAGCTTGAGGAATTCAAGAACCCATTTTGCCGCGTGTGACACGCCGGAGTCGCCCCACCTTCGACCGTGTCTGGGCCACGCTCCTCCGCCGCTGGACCGCGCTCCCAGCTCTCGTCTTCCACACCAGCCAAGCGCAAGATCTCATCCTGATGGGCCGATTGGTTCCCCAAACCCAACGAGTAGGAAGATCGATGAGACATGATGAAATACCTGGGGGCTTTGGATGATTCACTTCGACCCAAACATCTGGTTTTTCCCAGAGGCAACAAAACACGGCTCACGTGGCCTTCCCACACCCTGGCAGCTTCCCAACGGGGCACTTCCAGTCCTTCACACCCACTTCCTCACGGTCCACGTCCTCTGGATCTTCGAAGACGTCCACATCTTCCACTTCCTGGCGGGTCCGAAGTCGATCCTCCCTCCTCTCCGCGGCGGGTGTGGGGCCTTAGGTGTGTCGGTTTCTTGGACGAGAAAAACCGGGAAAAGAAAAGGCCCGTCTCCACGGGGGTCGAATGGTCCGAAGTCGGGACGGAAAGGCCTCCGAAAAGCAAAGCGACTGGCGCGCGAGCGACCGTTCGACGCGGAGGAAATCAATCACACGTCGGGGTGGTTTTGAGGTCCCCCAAGTGGTTGGGCATGTCACAACGGCACCCCCGTTGTTCCTCCGTTCGGAACCGGCACCCCACTCCATATGACTCCTGGCACACTTGAGACGAAGTACGTGCCGGTCTGCCGCCCCCCGTTTCCTCCGTCACCGGTGTTTCGCCCCGCCGGAACTCCTCATCCATGGGATCTTCGCTCTTGGAATCCTCGCTGATGACGTCGACGTCACTCGGCTCACCGTCGCCATCCTTGGGAGGCAGGGGGAACAGCAGGCCATCGCACTGGTCCTAGCGCCTGCCTGGTACAGTAACTCAGCCGGCGAAACTGAACAACCTATAGCGAAACGCTTCAGGACTCCAGGGACTCCAGGACCCCCGCTTGTCCATCCTGAGGAGTGTTTTGCCTCACCCTCAACACCAAACACCCCCCAGCACTCTCCAGCTCCCGGTTCCAGCTCCCAGCTCTCAGCTGAGCTACGGAAGACTTCTCAGCTTCAGAGCGGACTTCATCCACCAGGTATCTCTCCGTCTTCACGCCCGAGACGCCACCCGTCGCCGCGACGGCCGTTTCGGCCGTCACGGGGTCGAGGTCGGCCGCGGGCAGCACAGAATGCGCCACGTAGGGCGGAGCGAGGTTCGCGTAGCCCTCATCATCACGAGCAGCTCTGGCCATGCAGACAAACGAGTTTGCGCAGACAAACGGCACGCTGGAGCTCTCGGGGTGTGATGGAAACTTGAGCTGAATCCGGAGCATTCCAGAATCCCTGAGGGGTTCTGAAGTTCCAGAGCATGGACTTGGCTTTTGAGGTATGGAATTTATGTGATGTGCACATCATGATTCATGTTTCTGTAGAACATAGGGGTGCAGAATCCTTGGTTCTGTGACACCAACTTGGTGGTTGCCTGTGTGCAAATGTCCAAATCGAACGTGTTTACGCACCTGCAATCAAAAGCCATATCTGCTGCCAAACCACATCTGAACAGTGGGGTTTCTCCTGGTCCAGTGTCTTCAGTCCTAGATCTGCATTTGGGGTGACCTGCACATTGACAAAGAATGTGTGCAAAGGGGTTCCTGCCAATGCAGAGTTGGACGAGGGAGTGCAATCTGCTTCTTTTGTGATGGCAATGAATTCCTCTCTTTATGATGTGCTGGTTTGCTAGAATCCAACACGAGCCAGCGAGAGCGAGAGCGAGAGCGAGAGCGAGAGCGAGAGCGAGAGCGAGAGCGAGAGCGAGAGCGAG